GATCTAAGCTGTGAATGTCCTATTTCTACAGTTATTTACAAGAGAAGAAGAGGTTCATACCTCTTACTCGTAGCTTGAAGCTTTCAATTTATCAGCATGGAATTCAAGAATGAATTCACAACCTTGGAAGGGAACTGGGAGCGTAGTAAGTAGAGGGTTAACATATTATAGGTGCTGATAGACTGTATTCTCTCATAGAGCCACTTCTCGAAACAATTAATAAGAACAGAAGAGTCCAGCTTATAAGGTATACATATTAGTACAGTCATTCTTGGGGGTATATCACTCAGGTACGTCAGATGAATTTAAAGTAGCTCTCCCATATGAATGCCCCGAGTGGAGGTAACGTTTAGGCACACTGTGTGGTGAGCTGCAAAGATTATTCGTGTCTAATCCCCCAATAGATAACTCTAGGAATTCTCCCTGTTCCCCAATAATTAATGCAAAACATAGAATTACGTAGTTCAAGGTAAAAGTTTTGGCAGGTACTGTATCTGACTGTTTGTATACAGTTGCGATTAGCTGAGTCAGTAGGTCCACACAGAGTGCACAAGGTAAGGTGCTGCGGTTTAGATGAGTCAGTAGGTCCACGCAGAGTGCATAATGGAAGGTGCTGCGGTTTAGCTGAGTCAGTAGGTCCACGCAGAGTGCTCAATGGAAGGTGCTGCGGTTTAGCTGAGTCAGTAAGCCCACGCAGAGTGCACAATGGATGGTGCTGCAATTTAGCTGAGTCAGTAGGTCCACACAAAGTGCAGGTGCTGCAAATTAGCTGAGTCAGTAGGTCCACGCAGAGTGCACAATGGAAGGAGCTGCGGTTTAGCTGAGTCAGTAGGTTCAAGCAGAGTGCACAATGGAAGGAGCTGCTGTTTAGCTGAGTCAGTAGGTCCACGCAGAGTGCACAATGGAAAGTGCTGTGGTTTAGCTGAGTCAGTAGGTCCACGCAGAGTGCATAATGGAAGGAGCTGTGGTTTAGCTGAGTCAGTAGGTCCACGCAGAGTGCACAATGGAAGGAGCTGTGGTTTAGCTGAGTCAGTAGGTCCACGCAGAGTGCACAAGTGAAGGTGCTGCGGTTTAGCTGAGTCAGTAGGTTCAAGCAGAGTGCATAATGGAAGGTGCTGCAATTTAGCTGAGTCAGAAGGTCCACGCAGAGTGCACAATGGAAGGTGCTGCAATTTAGCTCAGTGAGTAGGTCCACACAGAGTGCATAAGTGAAGGTGCTGCAGTTTAGCTGAGTCAGTAGGTCCACGCAGAGTGCACAATGGAAAGTGCTGTGGTTTAGCTGAGTCAGTAGGTCCAAGCAGAGTGCACAAGTGAAGGTGCTGTGGTTTAGCTGAGTCAGTAGGTCCAAGCACAGTGCACAAGTGAAGGTGCTGTGGTTTAGCTGAGTCAGTAGGTCCAATCAGAGTGCACAAGTGAAGGTGCTGCGGTTTATCCACAGGGGTTCCGATTATGTGAACATCTCCTGTGTAATAATGAGCTAGTGTCTGCAAGCTTCAGGATGGAGTGCGGTATGGTTCGTGTTATCAGCTTATTCTTTCAGGATGGAGAGCGGTGAGGTATGTATAGCAGATATATACCTTCAGGATGGAGACCGGTATGGATTGACTCAGTAGCTTGTGCTTTCAGGATGGAGAGGTGAGTATAGTAGATTTATACCCTCAGGATGGAGAGTGGGTTAAGTCGGGGCAGTGAAAATACCCAGCGTCAGTCACATTGCTTGATCGCCGTGTATTTCAAACTTCCCGGCTTAAACCCGAGAAGCCGTCTAGGGAGGTGGAGCAGTGTGACCCTGCAGGACCCAATTGGTCAGTGGGCGGCACCGAGCTCCGATCCTAGAATAAGACCGGGTAAATACATTACACTTATAAAGTATGTCACTGGGGTTCTCATGTGAGCCAGTAGAAAAAGCCTAAGTCTTATACTGGGAAAGCTCCTCCCCACTCTGAGAAGAATCCAAAAAGACTTTCTTTGATTACTTCCTGGCTTCAAGCTCCAAGGCCAGGCCCCTTGTTCTCAAAGATATCTGTGTCTCTGCACAGTCTAGCAGATCTTCTAGCTGCTCTTGTTGATCTTTTGAATCAAGAAGTTATTAGTGTTCCTGGCAAAAAGGGTTTTACTGCAACTTTTTTGCTGTTCCAAAACCAAAAGGGGGCTTACGCCCCATCTTGGATCTTAAGGCTTTAAAGTTATTCATTCGAGTCCAAACGTTTTGCATGGAAAAAAGCTCCTAGCCTGTCAGCTGTCACCGCGCTCCCTCCAGCCTGTCCCCTCCTCCTCCGCAGATTGGAATGTTCCTCAGTGTCCTCATGTATATGCATAGTGTATAACAGTCAGCAGGACAAATAGAGACAGTGAATCTCTCTATTGAGGACACAGACAGCAATAAAAACCTGACAAGTCTTCAAATCCCTCTCCACTCTATCAAAAACTAGAAAAAAAGTTTTTGCTACATTTGCACTTTAATTGACTCTACAAACTGGATTTTTCAGAGACAGATAGAGCTTTCTTATGGTGGTATTTAATCATCGCTGGGGGTTTTATTTTTTACTATAATAAGGAGAAATTACTGAAAATGTTGATTAAATTTTTTTTTACATTATGTTATAAAACAACTAATATTACCCACTTTTTTGGTAAAATATAAAAGACGGGGTCACGTCGGGTAAATAGACACCAAACATGTCAAGCTTAAAAATTGCGCGCACTTGCGAAAAAAAAAGCTAGCATGGCCAAAATTGGCCATAGGCGACGCTTTAAAAGCTTTTACAGCTCATCAGTTTAGTGTTATCAGTGATTGATGGCCCTAGAATTATTGCTCTCACTCCGACGTTCGCGGCGATATGTAACATGTGCGGCGTAATGGGTGCAATCGTCGTTTTCGCAGGTATGTGCACTTGACGCATGTTTACATGCGTGTATGTAGGGGTGGGTACTTTAAAAAAGCTGCGCGGGGGGAGGCGCGCGTCACGGGACCTCATACAAGCGATCCACCGGCTCTATAGCCGGCGGATCGCTTGTATATTAACGGGCATCGCTGCCTGTTTTAAAATAACCGGCATGTCCTGCTCGGGCGCGCGGCGCACCTGAGCGGGTGGATGTAACAGGACGTGTATACACGCCCAGTTACATCCAAGAAGCTCCCGGCTGGCCGTGTATACACAACGGCAGCCGGGAGGTAGTTAAAAAAAAAATGTTTTAAAAATGAAAGAAGTATAAACAAAAAAAAAAGAATCACATATAAACATTTTTTTAAAAACACAACACATGTTTTAAAGTCCCCAGCCCCCACATACACACGCAAACATGCGTCGGGTGTGCCTATGTGTCCAAAAACGACGATTGTGTTCAACATATCACCGCGAACGTCGGAGTGAGAGCAATAATTGTATGGCCATCATTAACTGTTAACACTAAACTGATGAGCAGTAAAAGTTTTAAAAGTGTAGCCTATGGCCAATTTTGGGTGTCGTAGTTTTTTTGCGATTTTGCGGCCGTGCGCACACCGGCCCGTTCGGCATTTGTCTCCCGAGCATCATTCTAGCATGCTCCTTAGACAAAAGACGTGCGACCGCACAGTAGAAACGGTCGCACGCCTTCATTCACACTGCACGATTCTCGTACGATCGCGGGATTTCCCGCGATTCTCATACGAGAAACGTGCAGTGTATGGGCACCTTAACTGAACTAACTGAAGATAGAAGCTGATTGGTTGCCGTGCACAGCTGCTCCAGATTCTCTCTGCTCCAGTTTTGATAAGTTCCCCCCTATGTGTCCCCAAGAAATGGTTTAAAATGATTTTCAGTACAGCGTTGCAAGAAGGAATAAATGTCAAAGTACTGCAGCGCTGAATACTGAAAAATGGCCTGGACAGAAAGGGGGTTTAACACCCTGGTCTTCAAGTGGTTAATGGGGCTGTGCCATTGGTTACTGGCATCCTGGCAACCAAGGAGCCTTGAGCTGGAAGCTGTCACATTTATGGCAGCTTCCCAGTGCAAACTTGCCCTGCTCTTTACTACACAGCGGCCCCACTGTGCTGTGGTCTCTATATGCCAACTTAAAATAATATTAAAGTTAAGCTATTTCAAATGCTGAATAAATCACTTATAATGGGTGCTTCTCCTTCATGTTTAAAAGTTTTAGCTAACTGCAGAAAAAGCTATTCCCCTGAGCACTGGCCCTGATACCCTTGCAGGGTCCTATGCAGCCACCCTTGTGTGTGCTAGTAAGCTGTGTATGTCTTAACAAACACAGGCACAGCAAGACAAGACACTTGCCTGCTCTTCCCTTCTCCAAGCTAGAAGATGAATAGTTGCTGCAGACTGCTCTGTCCCTTGTGATCTGGTACTGGACAGGACGTTCATTGAAGTTGAATTGAGAGAGTTCAGAAACATGATGACTGTAAATGCTTGGGCAAAAATGTAAAGAAATACTTTGCTGGGTAATGTATATCTGTTTGATCTGGATTCATTACTGAAAACAGTTTGAGAGTTTAATATTACTTTAACGTTGGTCTGAATCACCCCCAGATACCTCATCTACAAACTGGCATTCTCTTTGAATTTGTTGTAGCCATAGCAACACATTATTAAAGTGGTGCAAATAACTATCTGACTCTGCTGCACATGTCAGCACTGCCAACAGAACTGTCATAATCCTTTCATGAATTAGCCGCAGGACTTTCTAATGCAATGCTTCTCCCAAAAAAGTGCAAATTCTTTATTAAATCTCCCCTATTTTTTTTGTTTTGTTATACAGACTCTTTAATTTATTTGTTTCCAGGAAATTTGCAAAATAATTTCCTAACAATAAGAATCCTTGCAGTGTATAATGGAGGCACACACACAGACTATGGAGCTGAAGAACACAGGAAATGGAAGCTTCTTGTCTGTCAGGAACATGGATTCATGTGACAGTAAGGTCACTCACACTCCCCACAAGTCCTCCAAACCTCAGCCAGTAGGAGCGCTTTGTTCGCGGCCTAGTGTCCTAATAAAGCTGTTACAAAGTGACCTTGAGTGGGTTCTCCTCCCTCCATCCGGGTTCGCTTTATAAAGAGCGTAACGCGCTTGCGTGGTGTTCTCCGTTCAGTTCGACCTCTGGTGCCGGTAAGAGCAGTGAGTGGAGCAGGCCTCGGAGCTCGGGGAATCCGCTGCCATCCGCCCTCCCGGTACTGTCCCGGGTCTCCCCGTTGTGGGATAGCGGTAGAGCTCTCCTCTGTCTTCGGGCCGCCCGTTCTATTTCTTGGCTGCTCTGTGTATTTCTGTGACACCGCCGCCTGTGCTGAGCGTAAGTCATTCTCTCCATTCTCTCTCTCCGCAGAGGGGCTGAGCCGTGACCTGACTCCCAGCTGAAGGACACACACACACAACTCCCTACATCATGTATGCCTGTGCGAAGTTCGTCTCTACCCCTTCTCTGGTGAGTATGGCGGCCTGGGCCTTGCTGCGGCCCTTGTAGGTCAAAGTCAATGTCTTCCTGCTGATGGCCCGCCCTGCACCTTCCCAGCCTCCTGCCATCAGAGGGGATTGGGGGCTGTGCATGGATTATTTGCAGGCTGGTTTTTAGTATCACTGGGCCTGCTGTATAGCGGTGACCTTAGAGCTGTCATAGTCCAAGGACATGTCATCTAGAGCTGTGCTCTCCTGCATGGCTCTGCAATATATAGCTGCAGCAAGCAGCCAGGTAATGCTGCATCACACATTGGATTGCTTATTTGCACAATTCAGATTTAATTTTCTTTCTGTGACTTTTATGGCCTTCCTGGTTTGAGTTGATTCTTGTGTAGTCTGTTTTGGAATGTATTTGACAGTATATTACAGTGCTTGTTGTCTTTTATGTCTTTAGATCCGTGCTGGGTCCAGGGCCCTGTGCAGACCAATCTCTGCATCAGTTCTGTCTCGGCCAGAGGTCCGAACTGGAGAGGTAACTATCTGAGAAGTGTTATGCTGCTAAGTAATATCTGGGGGCTTGCGCTAAGTCGCAGGCCACATTCCTTGATGTCTTATGGGAACTGTTGCACCTGTCTATACCTGTGCAAAATGTACTCCTCTTAAACTAAACAATTGAGGGCCTGCTGATCTGTGTAGATTTCAGTGCCAACTGTGCCTGTCAGAAGTGACACTGCCTTCTGTTATACAGTGGGCCTTAATCTGAAGGGCATCCTCTGTTGCAGGTCATTGGGTTAATTCAAGGACATTACTTCAGCCCTTGGTTTGCCATAAGAGGCTGATCTATGTTTGGGTAATGTGAATGATGAAGGGTAAATGTATTTGTCAATACATTTATTTTATATCTGGTTTTGTTTTTTCTTCAGGGAAACACACTCCTCAGTGGGACACAAAACCCATGCACCCAGCTGGTACTAAGGGGATTTCAGACCAGTGCAGTCAGCAGGGACATTGATACTGCTGCTAAGTTCATTGGTGCTGGTGCTGCCACAGTCGGTGTGGCTGGCTCTGGTGCTGGTATTGGAACAGTCTTTGGCAGTCTCATTATTGGTTATGCCAGGTAAGTTTACCAGCAGTAAGTCTGCTTTTTGATATCCTTATCCTGTTAAGGTGTGACTGTCATTGGACTTGTATTAAAACAAAGGGTTAGTAACAAGCTTTTCATTCAGTAATTTCAACTTTCCCTTCAGTTTTAATGTTTCCAGTTAAGGAATGGCAGCCAAAAATTGCTTTTTGGTGTGGAGCAGGGGTGCAGACTGTTGGATCTGTTTGTTTCTGTCCAATTAGAAAGCCTTCATCACTTCCTGTCTTGGTTCCTACTATAGGAGGTAAATGCAGGGCACAGACTGCAGCAAAAACCTGATATTGTACCCATCCTTGCTCCACTAAGTGCTTTTGTCAGAAAACATCTCTTCTGTTCATGAAATGTTGCTTCAGAGAGTTTGGTAGAGGAATAAGACTGGTCTGATCTTTTATTAAACTCCTGTGAAATGGCTTCTGTGCATGAACATGAAGGCATGGAGATCTGTTGTGACAAATGTTGCTATGACAAAACTCACAACCTTACTTTTTTTTTTTGAGGGTAAGAAACTTGCAGTCCCAACATTTTTCTGGTTCATACTAAATATTGATACCACGCATGCAGCAGCACAGGGCATTGTTCTAGTTGGAATGAGCTCTTTGTGGCACCATGGTGGTGGTTGGATTATGCATTTTAATGTTTTAGTATAAAATAGAATTGCCCTGTAAAAGCGGATCAATAAGTATCTGTTCTAAAACGTAAAAATGGCAAACCTAACTAGCTTGGGCTTAAGGACTGTTTGATGAAATCGGACAGACCAGATGGGTATTGGAACCATAATGATTATTCCTGCCCTATACTCTAATATAGAGCTATATTCCTAAAAGTATTGATGCCACTGTTTTGTGTGCAATGTTGCCATAGAGACTATCTGCATTCTGTGGTGAATGCAGTTGTCCGTACTCAATGACCTTTCTTGTAGTTCTTTTAGTGAGTGACCTTGTTATACTAAAATCTCCAATACAAACCTGAAAAATGTAAAATCTACAGCTCAACCAGCACTAGTAAAAGCAGTGTCCATTTCCTGGGTTCTGTGCAGCACGCTCTCCTGATTTAATGTCCACTTCTGTGTACTGTGTAATGCATGGAGGTCAGCCGGAGAAACCAATGAGCAATGCATGCCGTCCAGGAGACTGTCTCCAGAAATGTTTGTTTTCCTGCAGTCTTTACATAAGACTTCTAATGATTGGTGTTTGCTGGAACAAGCAGTAGGAAAAGGTAAGTATTTGGCCACCTTTTTTAAATGTGCGCCTTCATTAAAAAAAAAATAAAAAAAATTGCAGAGCTAGTAAATGCTTTCCTTCCTCCCATTTGTAGTTATCTTTGCTGTCCTGCCTGGCACATCCCAGCCAGGTGCCCTTGTACATGCCCTGAGCCCATTAATTTCTATGGGTAAGCTGTGCTCATGGTGGCATCTGGCATACAGCCCATCCATGGGAGTAAATGGGGTTGTGGTGCACCAACATGCTTGGGCTCCTCGATCCTCACTCCACTGCTTATGAGGAGCTTATGAGTGATTTCACTGATTATACTTGCACCAGTATTTGGGTCATGACAGGCTGGGCCTTGCACCTTCAAAAGGTGTCTGCAATATTACCTACTATTCCATCATAAAGGTATAAAGGGTGACTTTGTGTTTTTAAACTGTTCTCAAAGGAGTGCCAAACTTGCACATTTGTAATATCTGGCTGTAAGGACTTAAGATGGCAGTGCACACTGGGGGCCCTTGTTTCAGGCAGTTTACTTCTCTGAGAAAATGGTCCAAGTGCCTGTTTACCTAAAATTAAAGCAGTGCTGGTGGGGTTTGAAGCAAACAATGCTGCAGGTAAGGTCTGGCACCATGTGGCCTACTGTAGGCTTTGCACTTTGAATTATGGCACCATAGTGTGACTTTAAAAGAAACCTGTCACTCTGCCTGTTCAAGGCAAATGGACAGGTTCTCTTGATAGGCCCATCATCCTGATACTTACCACCTTATTTCCTGTGGCTTTGTTTACATGCGGGAGCCCCGAGTCTAATACCTATGTATGCTCTTGGTGCTTACAGGGGCTAATGACTCTCCCCATGCAGTACTGTCCGAGCCTGGTGATTGGCAGCTCAGGCCACAAATGCTGCATCCTGGCAGGGATAAAGGTTACATGCTGTCACAATTTGCCCAATACCAAGAAGTACTGCCTCAGACAAACTGAGTGGCAGGGGATCATTGTGGGGTGCTGAGACTGTCTTTGTCCTGATTGGGCAAAGGAACAGATCCTTTTGGGGTGGATAAATTAGTTTTTTGCAAAGGTTGTAAACTTGGATATAGACTCATAACTTGCGCAGCAAATAGTAGTTTTAACTGAGGGGTCCTTAAGTCTTTTGAGTTCAGTCTAAAAATCAAACAAGCCGTAGGCTACTTGTGCAGTTTTAGACTCTGCTGAGGCAGTTTAAGGAATAGTGTAACTAATGTATGGCTAGCTGTAACTGACTTGCTGTTCCATAAAGGTCAATCATTCCCTTTTTAGTCTCAAATTATTAAAGGAATGTGATTGGAGCAGTTCTCTTGGCCTATTGTTTGTTCTTTGTGAGTTGGAACTGCTGCAATGTCATGCCTGGTCTTATCACAAACCAGAATCTTTTGATTATCGATTTTTATACATGTAGTCTTCTAAAAGGTGTTTTAACATTTAATGAATGGAGCCTTATGATGGGGAAGATAAAGTGCCATGTTGGTAGTGCTGTGTCTCATTAAAGGTTTTTAAATAAAAATGTAAAAGTGATGGGTTTAATAGCTGTCTTCTATTCTCTTTTTTTCTTTTTAGAAATCCTTCCTTGAAGCAGCAGTTGTTCTCATATGATCTTGGTTATCCTCTCGTGATGCTGTCCTGGAAGACGTTATGGGAAATTCAGAGTTAGGACTTACCGGTAACTCTATTTCCATTAGTCTTCCAGGACAGCAACTGCCCGCCCATTGATGCTTGTAGTGTTAATGTGATGTAGTGGTATTGCCTGTTTGTGCCTTGTCTTTTTCCAGCTTGCCTTCGGTTCTCGTGATGACTGAGGGAGTGGAGGAGAGGAGGGTCTTTTAAGCAGATTAAGTGACGTGTTTCCTGTGTGTGGGGGAGGAGATTCCATCTCGTGATGCTGTCCTGGAAGACTAATGGAAATAGAGTTACCGGTAAGTCCTAACTCTGAATTTTTGTTACCGCAATATGGCTCAGGCCAGGGCTCGTTTGAAGTCCACAATCCCTTTTTGGCCATTTTAGACATCCCTGCTTCAGGATGTACCAAGCTGAGTTCACTTAACTGGCTGTGTTAGGTGGGGGATGTCACTTCCTGGGTGCTGTATCTGGTTCTAAAGCTGCTTGGGCACAAGCAATGTGGGTCATGGATACCAGAATACTTTCTTAGAGCTGCTTTCAACCTATGCCTGCTATGTCCAGGATGCAGACAGCAGCTCTTGTGGTGATGGGGGGTTACGGCAGAAACATGTAGGTAAGTCTGGAGTCTATCTTGTCCTTTTGATCTGGTTGTGTATTCTCCTCTCTCTGTACATCTTCCCCTCAAGTTCTCTGGGACCTGGCCTGTTGGTGACATGGGGTTTGAAAAGGGATAGGTTTCATTGGAAATAAAGAGATGGGTCAAGTGTGTGGGGTGGGGAGGGGATCAACCTTCATATGTGCTCCTATTCTTTCAGACCAACGTCCGAGGCCTTAAAGTGTTTTACTTAAATTGTTTCCCTGTTTCTCACAGCCCTGCTCCCCCTACTTATCAAATAACTGTTAAATGTAAGCCTTTAACAGTATATGGGATGGAGCTTGTTTACATCCTGTCATCTTATTTACACTCCTATATAATGGGAAGCATTCCTTTTTTAATATTGGAAAAACTTTTCTTGTACTTGCATCTTATTTAGGAGGGTGAGCCACACTTATGAGCAACAGAAGCAATGCACGTTTTTGGATAGTGATCTTGTGTACAAGTTTGTGTCTGGCAGGTTTTACTTGTGTTCCTGTGGAAAACATGCAAATTCTTAGTGAGCCAGCAGAGTAGCCATGATGTGTGGTAAATGATGGACATGAACATGAACATTTAATATTGGAATCTCAAGAAACCACTGGACTAGTTTGTACAGCAGTACTAGTTGCTGCTCCAGGTTGCTGAGAAGTGAGGGGAAATAAAGTAAAATGAGTCGCCAGAAGAACCTTTCTATACTGTTATAAAAAAGTAAAACAAATTCTGTGGCCAAGACATCAGCTTTTGCTGGTGGAGGGTTAAAATTTGTCACTGGACTTCTGTATTGAGTCAATTTAGGGCTCAGTTTATTTTTATTTTATGAATGGAGGCAAAATATTTCCAAGTGGAATATGCTTTTGTAAAATTGGTGGTGTGATGGTTTAGGACTAATGAGCATCTTGTCTCCTTGTTTTAAATTGATGGTCTCGCTTATGCAGCATCTATGTTGCATTGCGGAACATGTTAATCTCTTCAGCTCAGCCTCTGCATATTAACACTGAAGTCACGACAGAGGGATTCTGTAGTGGTTCTCCCCCTAGAGTAAAAGTCACATTAGAGTCTGTTCAGGATGACAAATGTCTTCACTCTCTGAAATGGAAGAGTAGCAAAATTTCCATCCATGGTGGTCTTGTTTAAAGTGGAACTACAACAGTCTATCCATTTACAGCCAAGGAAGGTTTCTTTTTGGCCTCTTTGGAGTGCAGTTACCATGGTGCTGCACATGTGATCAGCTATGATGGACCTTTTTTGAAGGCTTAAATGTTCAGTTGGAATCTAAAACGGGCACAATGGTGACCTTGTAATTAACAGTTTAGGGAGACACTTAATTGGTGGGTCAAGTTCTGCTTTGATGGTTCTGGCTGACAGGACTATGGGGCATGTCGCACTAGCCATTTCAAAGCAGTCACCTCTAGCTACCTAGTTGAGCATTAGGGCCAATCACCAGCGACAGGGTGACAAGTCTACTTTGGCCCTATGGGGAACTATGGAGCAAAATAATGTGGAATTGTTCAAGAAACTTTTGGACGATTTCTTAAGGGACCGCAATATACAGGGGTACAGGTACTCCTAGAATGAGATCCTAATAGGTTGGACTTGATGGACTAATGTCTTTATTCAACCTCAAATACTATGTAACTTGCTAACCAGAGCACATGGACTTAAGGGAGCTAATGTGAAAAGTAGCCATAAAAAAAAAAAAATTGGAGGAAATTGTGAATTCCCCCCTTGGGCTTTTGAAAAATAGTTTATGCTTAAAGCCTCAGCCTGGCACTTCCTGAGACATCTGGATATCACCATCCCTAAGATAAGCTGGGACCTTGAAATCACATTATTATACAGGATTTATATAGCGCCAACAGTTTGTGCAGCGCTTTACAATATAAGGAAGACATTTCAATCACAAGACAAGATGGTAAGGAGGGCCCTGCTCCTGAGGGCTTAAAATCGAAAAGGGAGGGACAAGTAATACATGAGGTAGCTGTGTGGGGATGAATTGTTTGAGAACGTGATGGTTTAGTGGTTGAGGTGGGATAGGCTTCTCTGAAGAGATGAGTCTTTAGGGAATGCCTAAAGGCAGTCAAGATGGGAGATAGACTGACAGGTTGGGGTAAAGAGTTCCGGAGGATGGGAGAGACTCGAGAGAAATCCTGGATGACAATATGCTCAGCCAATTGCAGGAGTAAGTTCTCATATAATGGAGTATGCAGCTTTGGCGGGAGGCACTATGTCACTTACACCTCCTGGATGTGTCTGGAGTTAGGTTGAGGCTTTTTGCATAACTATTTCTAACTGGGTTTTTTTAGCTGTATTTTGTGGGGGAGCTGTAAGTAAGGGGACTGTTTTCATTGAAGGCCCGCTTGACATAACTATCAATAAGGGCTACAACAGTCACATTAATTCCCAAATTTAATTTTCAACAGGATAAGCTGTCAATAATTGTCGCTTTGACAGCTGTGCTCAGCGGGTTGCTGGCAATTACATTGGGAGAGCCTCTATCCCTGTGTAATTTGCAGGCTGGAGCTGTTGGTTTTATGACATATTGCAGGAGATGGGTGCAGAGTTACAAGAGAGGCTTCTACCTCCGCTGTGAAGCATTGTGCCCAAGGTGGGTGTCTCTTCTAGCTTACCCAGCCCTGATTATGAGATGCCAGGGGGCAGGCAAACGCATCCACTGAAATCTGAAGTTGGGGTTCAATACCCTTTGGTTGCTCTTGCAAAAATGATTTCCTAACACTTCAAAGTGTATGGCAGAGAAAATTGGTTTTATTTTGCCAAGTTCATGTAAAACGAAGTCTAGAATTATGGACTACCTACCAATAATAACTTGCTTTATGACAATGTGGCAAGTAGGTCATCCGTGCTGGTGCTGACACCCTCACCCGGTCTTCAGGCATCTTGATTGGCTGTGCCAGGATGACGTACATCCTGCACATCTCAATGTACAATGAGCAGAAGATTGCGATCAAGCAGCTAAGAATCCTTTATAACAGAAGAGACAAAAAACAAAACAAAAGGCCTCACTTTTTTTATTTTTGCAAAGCTCCACTCCCTCATTTTTTTTTATAAAGCATTCGATTACAATGAGAGTCAGCCAAGAGATCTGGCTCAATATGAGGGAAGATTGTTAGCCACGTCTATGATTTCAATATGACTGTGTTGTCCAATGGCCAGTTTAGCAGAAACATAAGGCTCAATTCACAAACCAGGTGCAGGTTACTTTTTTTTTAAAGTGACAGTAATGTCCAGTGTAGACCAATGAGATTTAAAAATAAGATTCACATGGCTGAAAACAGAATGCCTTAGGCATAGGTGTGTGCAGCCCATTGCATTAGGGTGTGCACACAAACCTGAGGCATCCCAGATTCCCATCTCTTCCAGCAGGGGTACAGCGATGAAGCAGGGAGACTGGCAGGTGGTCATTGGATGGGAAGCTGCAGCCACGCTCCCTCACAGCTTCCCAGGCACTGAGGACCGCTGCTGTTATGTGGGGAATGGAAGTGGCAAGTGCTGCTCTGTATCGCTGAGCCAGAGATCTTTGTGATCCCTCCACCTGCTTAGTGACTAGAAACATGGCTCCTGCCGTTGCACTCGGGGTGATAAGTGTGCGCACGCCTATGGCCTTAGGGCCACCACACATCATCCTGTACAATTTTTGTGACTATGTGATATGCAGACCTACTTTCTGTATCCAAGCCGGCATGCCTTTGCACTACATAGTTGTTGGTAGATCTAAAGAAGATTCTACAATCAGATTGTAATGTGTGTGTGGTGAGCTTTAGGCTTGAATAAAGCTTTGTGATTTGAGCTTTATACTATGGATTGCTCGTTGCATTCATATCTCTTCTTTCAATGGGAAATAGGATGACAGCTAGAATCTGATTGGCTATTATGGGCAACAGTCATATTCCTTCCAGTTCCTAGAACACCTGACACGTAACCTGCACACCCTTCACCCGATGACGCTGCCCAGTGGGCAGGCAGAACCGCTGCGCCGGTGCCTACAGGCAAGAAAGGCAGAAAAACACGCATACCCTTCTGCTGAGGCTCCACCCACCGCAGCGCCGAAGCCGCCATTACCACTCCTGGCAGTCCCGTAGCCGTTCCGATGACGTCACCCCTTTGCCAGCACTCACCCACAGCGGGAGCAGCGGACGGCAAACAGATTCCCCCCGCCCAGCTGTCAAGCGAGATATCGCGATAACCTGACAGGAGCTGGTGGGATTTGGCCTTGAGCAAGGTTCAGCCCTTCTGGGGGGGTAAGTTTGTAAACACGGAGGGTGCAGAGCGGCAGTAGAACGGGGGAGGACTGGCATGCCCGCTGCCCTCTAACATGGCGGAACGGGCACTACCGTAACCATTGTTGTCAGGCTGGAGCTGCTGAAGGAGCCGCAAGGACAGCAGCCCCCTTTTCCCCAGTGCAGATGTCAGGTAGGATGGACGGGAGAGCTCATCAGCTGCTGCATTCTACAGCCAATGCTGTCTGTCTGTCTGTCTGTCTGTGTGCCGTCATGTCTGGTTACCAAGGCAGCAGCATCCTTCTCCCCTTGGACCACACACTCCAGTGACAGCCATAGCAACCCCTGTGTCTAGAATGTTCCCTGCCACACTCACAGCTTATGTCTGCTCATCATGACTGCTGCCAGTCCCTCACCTCCAGCTGTCAACAATGAATGAGCTCATCTTGTAGGACCCTTTCATTCTGCCTTCAGCTCACATACCATTGTATGACTATAGGCTCGTACACACGAGAGCGGCGAATGTTCCTGTGTACTCGTCCTAGTGCACCAAAATATACAAATAGCTCAAAGTGCTGGGAGTGGCGTTATATATCCTCTTCATGCCATGTCACATCATAATCGCAGTGCCTGTGGTGTTATTGGTTTTACCAAAATAAAACTGCGCAATCTAACCCTCTGCAATCTAAAAATGCGCTCTGATTTTTACAAAATCCGCTTTATTCACTGATGTCGTGTTCCACGCGGCTATATGTGTTGTAGTCCCAGCGCACACCTAACCGGTGAAGAAAACCCCAAGTCACGGGTGGGTGACCCGTCTATATGGTCACCTAGGCAAGAATGGCGTGAAGCCTCTTCCAGGGATATGTGACGCCAGAATCACAGGAGGCTTCGCCATGGCACCAGATGAATCTTCATTGATCTGGCACTGCGTCGCCGTGGGGCAGCTGCAGGAACCTGGATGAGACAGCCGGCTGCCAGTGATAAAGATGGCGGCAAGGGGTGAGTGACAGGGGAGAAAAGCACAACATGGTATTCATATGCTTTTCTTGCATCAATGATCAGTGGTAATTGGGCAGATTTTTTACTGGCACAGGTAGAGTTCCTCTCACTCACTTTATTTATTCATCATCTGGGGCTCGTGCATACATTGGAAACACTAGCTGGGTGACATGTGGATTTCTAAAGCACTGCGTATTGCAAACAATTGTCATGGCTTTTCCTCCATAAAACACCATTTCCACCTCCATGCATCTCACTGCTGCTGATGTCACGCAGCCTCTTTAAGCCACTGCCTGTCTACATGCGTGTACTGCAGTGTCAGCTGCACATCTTTGCTCTGAACCAGCTTTCTGACAACCGTGCCTGTGCAGTGTTAGCCTGTGTAGATGCATTTACCAGGGTGACAACCCAAAAGGATCACCAGGCATTTTATAAGGAAAGCTGACATTTTAAATGGATTGAATTTTTTTTTTTCCTATTACATCGACATGTTGAAGCTTATATGAGATTTTAGTGATTACATATACAGTCATGGCCAAAAATAATGGCACCCCTGCATTTCTGTCAGCTAATGGCACCACTTTGCACAGAAAATTGTTGCAATTATAAATGTTTAGGCATTCTCATGTTTATTTCTTTTGTTTGTATTGGTATGGCACCAAAAAGTGGAGAAAAAAAAAGCCAAACCGGACACATTCCACGCAAAACACCAAAAATGGCCTGGACAAAATGATTGGCACCCTCAATTACTATTTGGTAGCACAGCCCCTGGAAAAAATAACTAAAATCAATCAATGGCTTCCTGTAACCAGAATTGAGTTTCTTACACCTCTCTACAGGAATTTTGGACCACTCTTCTTTCACCAACTGCTCCAGGTCTCTCGGATTGGAAGGGTTTCTTTTCCCAACTGCTGTTTTGAGATCTCTCCACAGCTGCTCTATGGGATTCAGATCTGGACTGAATTGCTGGCCAGTCCAGTATTCTCCAGCGCTTTGTCTGAAACCATTTGTGTGTGCTTTGGGTCATTGTCCTGCTTTTAGACCCATGACCTCTGACGTAGACCCAACTTTCTGACACTGGGCCCTACATTGCACCCCAGAATTCTTTGGACGGTGTATGAAAAAGTTGCCCATGTGCATGAGATCTTTTAAATTTTTTTTGTTCATATGTTTGTTTTCAACTTAATTCATAACAGCACAAAACTTATTAATGGGCAGTTTTTCATATACGAGTTGTTAACGTCATGCATCAAGCTTATTTTCAGTCATGGCACCCTTAAAAGTATGGGAAATCTCGAGGCACCCCAGTCTAAAATAAAAAAAATGTAACAAATTATGTGTGGTTTTCCCCAAAATCTATACCGGATCCTTATCCTAGATAGGGGTCTGGCATGGATTTTAAGGGGGGATGCCGGGACAAAAAACCCCAAAAAACATGGAGTTTTTTCCTGTCAAAAGCCCTCCTTCCCATCAGGAACCCACCTTCACATTAGAGTTCTCCCCTTTTGCATTAGAGGCCCACCTTCCCATCAGGAACCCACCTTCACATTAGAGTTCTCCCCTTTTGCATTAGAGGCCCACCTTCACATCAGGAACCCACCTTCACATTCAAGTTCTCCCGTTTCGTATTAGGGAGCTCGCCTTCACATTCAAGTTCTTCCCTTTCGCATTAGAGACCCCTCTTCACATCAGTAGCCCACCTTCACATCAGAGTCCTCCCCTTTCACAGTAGATTCCCCCTTTCATTCTAGTAGCCCACCTTCACATCAGAGTCCTCGTCCCCCCCTTTATATCAAAGTCCTACCACAGTGCCGTTACGGCAGCATGGCAGAGGATGGGAGGTGGAGCAGGTCTGGCTAGATTCAGACTTCTGTCCTTTTATGAGTGCCTTGGGGTGTGTGGGGGTGGGGGTGGTGGGGTGTCCTGCATGCATGCAGTCGGTTCTGGATTAGTGCCATGCATTTCCATGGTGCTGGTGGTCAGCTCGCCTTACCCATGGGAATGCATGACAATGTGCGAACATTTGAAGGCACGCCTGAGAAAGCCAGAAGGTACTCCGGGGTGCTGCTGCATCCTGGTTTAGAAAGGCTGCTCTAAATGGTTCATATTAGTGGTTAGCAGTTCTGCCTTTCAGTACTTAGGTCCCTGATTTGAATTTAGTTTTAGCCAGTACACTGCTATTTTGCATGTTCTTCCTGTGCTTGCGTGGGTTTCCTCTGGGTACTTCCATTTCCTCCCACATTCAGACATACTGGTAGGACTATTGGCTCTTTTATAAATGTATGGCCCATGTATGTGTTCTTGTGAGATAGGCACCTTCGCAATAATGTTGTAACCCTTCCACACTCTATTCAAAATTTAGAAAAAAATAAGTTTTGGCTCAAGTTTCACCATAACCATGCTAAATTCCTAACTCTGTTAAGGAAAATTGGTGATCTGCGGGACGAATATTGCCCCTTTATATTGGAGGTCATCGGGAGGAAGAATTCCCCTTTACAATGGTGGTCATGCCCAATGCCATTGGTATCAATTTGGAGGTGGAATGAGCCCTTACATTGGTGGTCAGCAGGAGAAAGAATGCCCTCCTTGCATTGCTGGTAAGCGAAAGGAATGATGCCCCTTTTTCATTTTTCAGGAGATAGACTGCTTCCTTACATCAGTGGTCAGTGGGAGGAAGAATACCCCCTTACATTTGTGGTCATCGGGAGAAAGAATGCCCTCTTAAACTCGTGGTTCATCCGGAGGCAGAATGCCCCCTTTTACAGTGGGGGTTATCGGGAGATAGAATGCCCTCGTTACACTCGTGGTTATCCGGAGGAAGAATGCCCCCTTACACTGGTGGTTCTCAGGCGATAGAATGGCCCCATTACACTTGTTGCTATCAGGAGAAAGAATGCCTCCCTACTCTCGTGGTTATCAAGAGGTAGAATGCGCCCTTACATGGGTGGTCAATCGGAAGAAGATTGTGACTTTACATTGGTGGTCTTTGGGAGGAAGAGTTCCCCCTTACATTGATGGTCAGTGGAGGACAAAATACCCCTTTAAATTAGTGGTCAGTGGGAGAAAGAATGTCCTTTAACAAATGGATAAAGAGTTGTTGGTTTCAATAGCCCTCTGCTTGAAAGATAGGATCCATGCTGCCGGCCCTGTCAGGTTATGTCAGCACCAAAAATATACATGCACCATGATGCAAGAGATAAATCCACCCGCATGGCCTGCATGCAGACAATGCACCCCTTTATTGCCTGTACCTGAGATGGGCCATCCATGCACTGTGTATGAGTGTACATGTATGTATATAAAATCTTCTGCCTGTTGGATCATGCATATATATCGGAGCAGCCTCTGATGTCCGTGGTCTGCCTCTTGTTTGCTGGTAAAGGCTAGTTATTCCTTATCATAGTTTGCCATGTGAGCTTTGCAAATATTTAGAGTTGTCAGCTGAGAAAATTGTATGCAGCACCTGTCATAGTTGCTTCCTTGTGGAGATCACCTAATGGCTAGTAAGATGTACATAGTTTAGTGCATGTCTTTTGTTTGTTAAAAGCTGCCGATATACCGTACAAAGGGGTGTTATTTTATGTACCCTTTTTGTTGTATTTAATGGCCAAAGCAGTAGTGTTGTATTGTTCCCTGCAAATAACTCTGGGCAGATTAAAAGGGCTCTCCTGTAAGTGTTTAAATGGCATATTCCCAACTGCGGTTTAAAGGGCGACACACTGAAAACTGTCTGCTGAGCTTCCTAGGCCTTGGGGGTAAAAGGGTAAGTAATGCTGAATGGCTTGGAACACACCAGCACCATGTAAAGTCTTGTTTTATATTATGCATCTGCAATTTTCAAATCTCATTGAAAATAGCTGTCCCTTTAAAAAAAAATAAGGATAACTACCCTGGTGTGTTATATTTGTGAAATGTTCCTAAATAGTCCCTTTTGACTTTCATTGCTCGTTCCTGTATTCAAAGGCAATCTAGCCTGTAGAAGTTGCACAATGACTTTTGTTCTATTTAAAGAAAATGTGTAAAGGGAAATGATCTGAATGAGCCATGGGGCCATGTCACACTAGCAAGGTTGTAGCAGAAATGTGTCATTTTGGGGGGGGAGGTTTTTGTTGCTGGCTAAGTTGCTGTTGTAGATCGTTACAGTACATGCCTACGGCACTACAAATGGCTGGTATGTCATGGTCACCATTAGCTACACAACATGAGCAGCTACTGAAGTTGGTACCTCTGTTGGCAAACCTCAGCTGTGCAAGAACGTCATGCAATTGTTACCACATAAACCTCTCATTCACAGTAATTTATCACCTGAGAGATGATTGGCTTCACCTTTCATAGGAAACCCGAAAGAGATAAAAAGCCCCTACCATCCCCTCATCCCTCAGATTAATTGTGTTCCTTATCCTCCACAATGGAACATTTGTTACCTTTTGTCTCCTCACTGGATGGATATTCTTTCAGCAGTCCCACACAAGAGGTGGAATCCCAACCAGGTCAGACCATTAGTTTCTCTGGAATGGTCTTCCTATCTGTTGGTTTTGTTTTTTAGCTGCTTTGAACTTGTCTCCAATAAGGTGTGGGGACAACTCAGGTTGGCATGATACCCTAAATGCAGTCTGAGGGTCAGCTGTTACATGCACCTTGACAAGGTTAGGGAGCGACTTCGGTGGATGCTGGGGGCTGCAGAGGCATACTGTGGCTATGGGACTGCTTTTCTGTTGTCCCTAGAGGGGAGCCCAAGCATGCTTGCAGCCCATTCTGAAATGGTTTCCCGCCTCCCTGGCCGGTGGGGCTTCCGTACAGGAAGGTGATGTGGCTTTAGGCAGCCTTTACCTTGTCACTTCTGTCCTTACAATAAAAAATAGAGGGGCGAGGTGGCCACTCCTGTTGGCAAACTAATAGCAGCTCCTGCAACAAAGTTGTTGAATACCATTGCGGAATGTTTCACACATGCAGGGGAGGGTACACCGTGCAGCAGGTTTATTGACACCTTATGTTCTTTTCCTCCTATCTGTATGTCTGGTTGCCTGGTTAGACGCACACATTTTGGAGAAGTCCTTAATTTCCTAATTCCATGCTAGATCTAAAAAGAAGTGTTGGGATTGTGGCTGTAAACTATCTTCCTCTTATGACAAACATTTGTGTAAAGCATGTATACACAAAATTGCTGGCTCTAAAGTTGCATCAGTCATGAGAGATTTCATGGATATCATGAGCTTGGAATAGGTTTATTTTTTCCAGCCCTTCCGACCTGTCTTGGCAGACTTTGCCCCATCTATTTCCAGTTGGCACCTACCTCTGAATTGGTAAAACCATAGGAGGAGGAAGTAGATACCATTAAAGAAACTAGAGAATTGGAAGAAAATTCTAGCGTGGGTTTGTAAGAGGTAGAGGGCTCTATTAGAGAGGCAATAGGGGTTGAAGATACTGTTACAACTATTAGCTCTTTCCCTCTGAGGAGACAGACAAATTGCTCAAAGTGATATTGTCACTGAGCAAATCTTGGATTCCTTTTTAATTCTAAGGATAAAGACAAGTTCCTTAAGCTACCCCACTTAGATGCCCCACTAGCGCAGGTCACAACAGAAACCTCTCCTTGGAAAAGACTGGCTATTAATCATATGGACAGAACGGCTAAATCTTTGCTGCAAGACAACTGGGAAGCATCAGCTTTATTCTTTGGTCCCACTCTGTTCTCCACATATGTTGCCAAAAGCTTAGATGTTTGGCTTTGACGTTTGGTTGGAATGTTTAAACATGCATCTGCAGTCCAGTCCTTGCTAGACCAGATTCAAGAGACTAGGCCTGCAGTTTCCAAGGCATTTTGTTCCTGGCAGATGTAGCAGTGGAGACAGTTATGACTATATAGCTAGGGGTACGGCTTTAATTAATTCATCAAGGAGACCTCTGTGGTTAAAGTCTTGGGAGGAAGACCTAACCTCTAAATCCAGCCTATGTGAGGTTCCATTTTAAGGAAAGCCTTTCTTTGTATCTGAATTAGACTCTAATCTTACCTCAGATTTCGGCCAAATGTAAATGGTTTCAGGGTAGACATCCCTTTTGAGGACAGCAGACCCAGTCCGAGAATAAATCAAAAGAGCAGGACGACAGAAATAAGAAGATTTTAATAAATCCAAACAAAAAAAATTGGGAGTACGGGGGGGTAATATAATCCATGGTGACCAAACGGGGTTCATGCCTGGGAGGGGGACAGATGTTAACTTACGACGACTCTTTACTAACGTAGATTGCGCAACATGAAGGGACAGGAGGCGATTGCCTCCCTTGATGTAGAAAAGGCATTTGACTCCGTTGAATGGCCCTATCTGATTGCGGTACTCCAGAAGTTTGGTTTTGGGGATCTATATAATGCTGGGGGGGTTTTAAGTAATTTTCAGGCCTAAAATGTGGAATATAACATGGGTACAAAAAAATGAAAAAAAGGCCTCAGTCATGAAGGAGTTAAAACCAACAAAAACCTCTCAAAGAAACTTCTGTCACAGTACACATAAACCATGCTAATACCCTCTACCTTCAACATCAGAAGCCATGGAGTCCTTACACTGAGCGTGGTGACATCAGCAGACTCCTCCCTCAACCCCTCGGCTGCTGAATGCTCGTTGGTCATTCCAGCAATTCCTTGGTCTAAACTTCACTCCAGGATGTTGAAGGTCCATCTTTTGATATCATGGGACAGAAAGAAGAATTATTTAGACAACATTATTACTAGGGATGCGCCGATTATTGGCTTCCCTACCAATCAGCATTGAGCCAGCCAAACGGCATGAAGCCGGCTTCCCGGCCAGTCAGGAAGCCGGATGCTGGTAAGGATCCAGCTTCCTGATTGGCCGGGAAGCCAGTTCCATGCTACCAGAAGTACCGACAAGTAGCCGACATATACATACCGGTACTCGATACCGAAAAATCAGTATCGGTGCATCCCTGATTATTAACTTATCTCCAGCAGTGGTACAGAGCCTTACCTTGTAAGGGTACACAGGAACCCCCTGGAGAGGAAGACCTTGGGCTCAGAGCAGTCCTAAAATTACCACTGATGCAAGTGCATGGGGCTGGGGACACACTTGGGCTCCTTCCAGGCTCAGGCGCCATTGGATTCCAATTTCAGGGAGGAGTCCTAAAATTTAGGGGAGCTTTTAGCAGTTGACAAAGCTCTCAAGGCTCAACATTAGACCAAAAGGAGAAAGACCATGGTCTAATCAGAAAACCTAAATGATCAGGGAGGAACAAAATCAGAACCACAGGTTTTGCTAGCGATAAAGATCTTAAAAAGGGGAGAGCGGTTATTACCATTCTAGACAGCTGTGCCTAGGCTTCCTAAGTTCAGTGGCAGATTTTCTCAGCTGCCATTAAATTGTCAAGAATAGCGGGAACTCAGTCACCAGGCTTTTATACAGGTGAACCTCTTTGCCTCCAAACAAAACAAGGTCACAAACTACTTGTACCTGAGGCATGACCAGCAATCCTTGGGGGTGGATGCCCTGTCTCTGGACTTTCAAATTGGCATACATGTTCCCCTCTCTCCTGATCTTATAACTAGTAGTCAGGAAAATTACCCTTCATGGTGGACAAGAAGAGCATGGTTTTCAGAGATGCTTTCACTATCAGCAGCATTGCATGGATGCATCCTATTCATAGAACACAGCTGACCAAAGATGGTCTAATTAAGTGCTTTCTAGGAGCCAGAGTATGCTATATACCTCTGGCAAGCAAATTGTTTGTATATGGGAGCTAACATTTGTCCTACAGGGCCTAACACAGGAACTCTTTGAGCCCTTGCTAGATTGTTAACTTAACCTATAAAATGGCATTTCCTTTGGCCTAAACATCTGCTAGAAGAGTAGGGGACATGATGGCCCTTTAAGTTAATGACTCTTACTCTACAATCCTCCTGAATAAAGCCATCTTAAAGCGACATTAAGCGGTTTCTTTTTTATGGTGGCCAGACGTGCTAAAAGAAAAATTATTTTATCCTTCATTTTTTTTTTACTTCCTCGTTCTCAAGTGGTATCCAGACCATAAGCCTGCCCCTCCTGTACGGGTGCCTCCATCAACTAGTCGACAGCTGTGGAGGCACCCGTATGTGTATGGTCACAGCTGTGCCCTCACCTACCTGTGTGCGCCCATAGACGCAAACCGTGTGTGGCCGGCCACGTCCCCACCCTTGCAAGCATAACCTGACTGACAACAGAAGGAGCCTATGGCTCTACTGGTACTACAAGCAAGCCAAGTGATTTAGTTCCAATGCGTTCAAGTAAGTTGTTCCTTACTCTTCCGTTGTAGCATTATAAAAACTGACAGGGTTATTTACAAAAGGGTGAAGAGTTTGGAGAAGACAGGAGAAGTGAACAAGGACAACATAGCTGAATTGGAAAGTGAGCTGAATTGTGGAATTTTTCCAGTTCAGCTATGTTGTCCTAGATTGTTCACTTCTCCTGCCTTCTCCAAACTCTTCACCCTTTCGTGAATGACCCTGGGAGTGCTTGAAGCTACCAGATTAGATGTAAGATTATGTACCTACAGCATTATATCAAGAAAGTATCCTTAACATCCCTTTTTAAATGTGTTTATTGTGAATACAATGCAGCTCGGCTTTCTGTCTAAACGTGCTTATTGCAGTGACCCGAGTTCCTTGATGTTATCACTTTGTTGAGGGTTGACTGGTTACCTTAAAAAAAAGTCTGGGACTTTTTTAAGGCAGGGAAAAAAGCAGTGATGACGTACAAACTGCAGTAGTCTGTTGCACATTGCTCTTTACCTTATTGTGTAAGCCATTAAGACTTACAAATCTAAAAGACAACACTTTTTTATATATGTCTACCTAATATCATGGGTAGTTTGTAAACATATACCTTTTATTCCGTATTCAGAGTTATTTTATTGGCATTGTTGAAAGCCAGAAATGTTGTAAGAGGTTTTTTGGTACCATTCATAGGGTTTTGTAATAATAGAGAATAACAATATACCATGCATACATACAATGTCAAAGAGAACACGAGTTATGTAATACAAATGTGTATAATTGTACAGATATACTGCACATGGATATGTGATGGTGCATTTATTTTGTTGGCAGGTAATAACAAGGACCTGTAGAATATGAGTGATGATAAACCATTTGTATGCACTGCCCCTGGATGTGGCCAGGTAAGACTCAGCTTATTTAAATAAACTATCTAGGTACATATAAATGTGTCTATGAAAGATAACTCCTTTTCCTTACCTGGAGCTTGCACTACCTTCAGTGTAAGAGTTTGGCATTCTTGGAGCACAGGGGAGCGGATAGCAGGTTGTTAGCACCAGTTATTCACAGGCAAGGTTAGGAGAGAGAGAGAGAGAGAGAAAAAAAAAAAACACCAATCGATTGGTTGAAAAAATGAATCGATAGCTGCAGCCCTAACATTAAGTAGTAATAAACATAATGCTTTGATGGGGAGGTTAGAAGAGGTAGATCGTAAGATTTTGGTTCTACTGTACTTTAGAATTGTGTTAAATCCTAAGTGCATTTGCCATGTGCCTTGGCGGCATTGCCACCTATGTCCATGGAGGTGTTGGGTGCGACAGGCTTAAATATTGAGCATCTTGTAACATCATTGTAAGTAAGACCAAATTCCAATGCCTAATCTTCTACCATATATGTATATGTGCATTTTCATTTTTATATATATAAAACCTGCTACAAACTAAGCATATTATGGTTAAATTAATAAGCAAAGATTACCTCCAGTGAAAACAGCATTTCCAGTAGTAGAAGTAGTAGTAGAAAATATAATATGACTATAGTATAAGCTGCTATAATGTTTGTAAGCAATTTTTTTACATTTCCTGTATATGTGTAGCTTGAGCTTGCTCCAATTCTGCCTCCTCATTGGTCAGTAATACTCTGCATCATATCAAAAGGTCAATAGGGAGTCTTGGTAGGCGGTGTGGCCAATGCAATTTTTACTAAATGTGACCTCAGTTTATGTATTTTTCCTCTAAGTATATACCATTTAATGGTATAATAGGCAGCCTTGTATTGCTACTGGAGAGGGGACTTCAATAATATAGGAAAAGGGAAAAATATAGGTTTCTAAAATACCATACAGTGTTCACAATTGAAGCTTAGGTCAGTGCCTGTTCTACTCTCCTCTTTTATCTCTCTCTGGTGATCTCTACCATTACCGTATATTGTATACTGTAAACTATGTTCAGGATGATGTTTTTGTTGAATGAAGATGGGGGATGAGAAGGTTGCCCATATTTGTGACTGCAGCACCATGGAATCATTGTTAACCTGACTTAAAGGAGAACTATGAGGTGAGTGCTTTTCACTCACCTCATAGTTCTAGCCGACCTGTAACAATGAGACTGTCACAGGGCGGCTCAGTAGATCGGGAGGTGAGCGAACACATACTGGCGTTCGCTCACCTCTCAATCCTATCACGGCTCTCTGCCATGACAGGGGAGGGGCTGGATTCCCCCCTCCGATCCGCCAGCACTGACGGACGGGGAGGGGGCGGGTACAGCTGGCTCTGCCTCTAGATAGGCAGATCCAGCTGTCAGTCACGCAGCTGGCCGGATCCAGACATAATTGTCGGGATCCGCTTCAGCTGCGGCGTCTTAGTATACCGCGAGCAGCAGCTTGCGGTATACTGCGGCGTCTCAGTATACCGCGAGCTACAGCTCGCGATATACTGAGCCTAGGGTGATTGGAGGATGCTAGTTTGTGTCCTCCTGTTACCCTAAGGAGAACTATGGGGAAAAGCCTTAACCCTATAGTTCTCCTTTAACTGGCTGTGTTAGGTGGGGGATATCACTTCCTGGGTGCTGCATCTGGTTCTAAAGCTGCTTGGGCACAAGCAGTGTGGGGCATGGATACCAGAATACTTTCTTGGAGCTGCTCTCAACCTATGCCTGCTATGTCCAGGATGCAGACAGCAGCTCTTGTGGTGATGGGGGGGGTTACGGCACCAGTGACATGCAGGCGCATGTGTAGTAAGAGGACTCTTCTCTTTGCTATTGGAAGATCTAACTATCCTTGAAGAATTGGCTCACTTTTGATTAAATATTTTTATTAGGTGTAGATGCTGGTGGGTTAAATCAGCTATTGGCTTGTTATATGTCTCTATATGGATTTTCAGCAGTGAACTTTCCCTTTTGGACTTTCAGGCTTTGCCTTCCTAACTACGGAGTCCAATTCTTTCTGCTGCAGAAAAAGTATTGATGCTTATGCTACTTTCTTCATATGTTAAACTAAAGTGTCAAATACAAGTGGTTGGACCTGGAAAATCAGGCACAGAGATGTCGGCATCAGAGTCCCAACCTCTGTGGAGCAGGGAGTTATCCCACCTAGTAGCATCTACCCAAACCGCCATATCAGTTTCAGGTAGCCACATCGTTTAGGCTGGGTTCACACCTAGGCGTATCGAATATGTGCGTATGTCGCGCGTTTTTACCGCGATTCACGGTAAAAAACCGCGCGACAAATGCGCGTTTCCGAGTGCTACCTGGCTGTATCCCAATGGATACGCGCGGCAAATACGCCCCAAAGAAGCTCATGTACTTCTTTGGGCGTAGGGCGTTTTGCAGCGCGTTCCTACACGCTGTAAAACGCCCAGGTGGGAACCATGCCCCTAGGCAATCAATGGTTTTCACATGTTGAGCGTTTTACAGAGCGTAGGAACGTGCTGTAAAACGCCCAGGTGTGAACCAGGCCTTAATTAGTCCGTGTGACCACTGTCTGTAGGACTCGAAGTCAGTGGAAATCTTTATGGTACACAGACATCATTAAGCTGTCAGGGCCTATTTCTTAATCTTTAAATACCCCAAAAAAAGTTCAGCTGGAGTTCTGCATCAGCTACAACATGTGGGGAGATTATCACTGGCGATGCTCAGGTCAATTTCAGCACATAGGAAAATTGAGCTTTGTGTCCTCTTGCTGATGCTGCTTTGACAAAAGTGTAATAATCTATTGTTTTCCTTGATGAGCAATTTTCTTTCTAACTTACTTGACAGCGTTTTACCAATGAAGATCATCTGGCGGTACACAAGCATAAACATGAGATGACACTGAAGTTTGGGCCTGCTCGCAATGACAGTGTAATCGTTGCAGGTTGGTATTCCACAGGGAGAGGAGTCTGCTTTAATTCACACTTACAAGAGATGTGTTGATTACTCACTCTGAAATTCTATAGCCATAGTTACTTCAGCAGCTTTTCATTAGCCTTTCCATATAATCGGTGATATGCTTTTTAAAAATGGATAAATAGAATTAAAGAACTCCGGGCAGAAATTGTATTAACCCTTGCAGTGGGGCTACCCCCGCGCTTTAAGGGTTAACTTCTCGTTTTTTGCCTAGGGTAAAAAAAAAAAAAGTTATACTCGCCTGAACTTCTGAGCAGGCTGGCACTTGGACTGGTCCCTTGATCGTCTTGTCTCCTCCACTGCAGTGGTCTAGGAGTCCTCGAGTCATCACATCCAAATGCTGTGCGGGGATAGCCCCACTGAAAGGGTTAATAAAATGTCTGCCCGTAGTTCTTTAACAGTCAATATGTTGAAACAATTTTCAGAGTGTTCATTCTATAATGTATACTATACTCATCAATGCTTCTGAAATCAGTGCTTTTATAGCCACGCAAGTACCTTAATCGCATGGTTCATTTTCAGCCATCACTGTTGTTGACAGTGAAGCAATGCAACAGAGAAACACAAGGAGCGCCTCCATAGTGTATGCAATGCAACAGAGAAACACAAGGAGCGCCTCCATAGTGTAAAAACTTTGCAAATAAAAACGGTTGAAAATGTACTCGCAAACAACCAATGGTAACAGGCTTGTAGTAATAGGATCTAAAGAGAGCTGAAGATGGACAGACATCTGAGGCTTTATAAGTGCGGATGAAGAGCTAGGTCATTCTTGCTGCACATACTCCTCTGGTTGACGTCTGACGAAAGGGGTTCGACCCCAGAAACACATCAACCAGAGGAGTATGTGCAGCAAGAATGACCTAGCTCTTCATCCGCACTTATAAAGCCTCAGATGTCTGTCCATCTTCAGCTCTCTTTAGATCCTATTACTACAAGCCTGTTACCATTGGTTGTTTGCGAGTACATTTTCAACCGTTTTTATTTGCAAAGTTTTTACACTATGGAGGCGCTTCTTGTGCTTCTCTGTTGCTAGATACCCAGTTTCTCTGACTTTGAGGAGCTGCCCTGCATCTCTGGAGTTCTCCCTTTTCCCTCAAGAACGGTTCTATTTGGCACCAGTGGTTGTTATCTTTCAGTGAAGCAATGCAACCCATGCCTGGGGAGGAGAAGGGACAGGCTGCAGCTCAGTACTAGATTAGACTATCATTAGTAAATGCATGGACACAGACTTTACCTAGTAATAGGAGGTAGAAGGTTTTGGTTTGCTATTAAGTATAAGCTGAGAAAGTTACCTGAGTAAGTGCAGGCTTCAACATTACAGAACAATCCCAGTTGAATGTGACTTACTAGTATCAGCCAGCGGCATGTTTGTTCATTCTGAGTTTGGCTTCTGATACTGCAGATCAATACATAGAAGTATTTTTTTCTCTTTTGTGTCACTTTGTTCTCATTCATTACATTAAACACGCTCAATAAAGCTATTAGTAAAAATTGCGTTTCTTTCCCCTTTTGAGAGTATCAGATTGGGTCATGGCTTTCAACACAAGATGAGACTTTGCTTCATGTATTTGCTTTTTGTTTTCCTATCTTGAATTTCAGATCAAACGCCGACACCGACTCGATTCCTAAAGAACTGTGAAGAAGTGGGTCTTTTTAATGAACTCGCGAGTCCGTTTGAAAATGATTTTAAGAAGGCATCAGACGATGACATCAAGAAGGTAAGAAGAACAGGACATTTATAAAATATAAGACGGAGGGGGCGGCATTGGCGTTCCTTAACTACAAAGAATGTAACAAAAAATGCAAACTAGAAATCCGGGCAGCTAAAACTGAGTGTGAAAAGCATATCGCCGCAGATAGTAAAAAGAACCCCAAAAAATTTTACCAATATATTAACAGTAAAAAGGTGAGAAAGGAGCAGATAGGCCCAATAAAGGATGGAAGCGGGAAGCTAGTCACAAACGACACGGAGAGGGACGAGGCGCTGAACGCTTTTTTCTCCTCAGTATACACTCGGGAGGGAAACGGGTTTGACACACATGATAAAACTCCCAGTTTAACTCAAAATATACCCCAGTGGTTGACAGAAACCGGGATACAACAAAGACTTAAAATGCTCAATGCAAACAAAGCAGTGGGTCCGGATAACCTGCACCCCAAGGAGGCAAAGGAGTAAAATAAATATAATCGGGCTGGAAAATAAAGGGATAGACCAGTGGGGTTACAGATAGAAATTCCAAATCACAGCCACAAAATGCCACAAATGGATAATATATAGTATTTATACAGGTCACCTGTCTTCTTCCCCATCTTACACATCTGTCAAATGATCCTTTAAAGAAGAACTCTAGGTGTTTTAAAAACCCTTGCAGTGGGGCTGCAAGTACTTGTCTTGGTCTTGGAGAAAAAATAAAAACATATATACTCACCTGATCTTCAGTCGCACCTAGCTGCTAGAGCAGTTCTTCTTCCCTTGGCTCTGGGGGTCTAGGGACCGCTGGCATCATTACGTCTAAGGCTCCATTCAGACCTACAATGTAGGTGCGTTTAGGGATTCCTGCTTCAGGAAATTGTACATTTCTGCAGCAAGAAACCCAAATCTGATCGGGTGACAGCAACTGCATTTGAAAGCTGCAGAACTCTGCATTAGGAATTAATCCCTAGATGCCCGATCGATGCGTCCAGGGATAGTGATCTATTCCTAACCGCCTGTAATCTTATATATGTGCGGAGTGCCAGCGTTCTGCCACATTCAAATGCTGCCACTTTTAAATGGCAGATTTGGGATTCCTGCTGTAGGAATTCACCAAAGTTCCTGATGCAGGAATCCCTTAACGCACCTACATTGTAGGTGTGAATGAAGCCTAAGGCAGTCCTTTAACTCCTATTAGACATGAGGACACCGAGGGACATTTCACAGCCAGAGCGGAGGTGAGAGAGGTGAGCACTAACTGCTGCAGGATGGAGGATCGGGTGAGTGTATCTTCTTTATCCCGACCCTTGATCAAAACAAGCACAAGTTGCCCACCCCTTGCTTAGCCTGTCTTGTGTAACTGTCCCACAACCCTCTCATTTGAGGCACACAAGAGTGGAACAGGTTTTTAAATATTAAGCATCCAAAATACACCAAAACCTTCATAATTGGAAAAACAGTTACAGTGTTTACCTCCCCATACATGTTCCTCTATTCCAATGTTTAAGCGTTCTCCCATGTCTTCAATTTCTACTTTAGATGCCCCTTGATCTATCTCCTCTTGTAACTCCTGTTATAAGAAGCAAGATTGAAGAGCCAGCTATAGTTGAAACAACACATCAAAACAGTCCATTACCTCATCCTGAGTCTACAACAAGTGACGAAAAGGTCAGTAAGCACGTTAAACACCTTTTTAATGTTTTTTTCCTGGTGTGTGATAGATTATACTAGTAACATTGAGAAAGAATAACCAGACAGGTTATGGTGAGGAGATTAAAGGAACTCAAAAAGCTTTCTATTCATCTAGTGCTAAGTACAGTAGAGCTGCCTTAAAATAGAAGGTAATTATGTGACCTCACAAATCCCAAAAACAGGGTTTATTCCTAATTTATGTTTGTTATATTTTAGTAGGCAGAACCAAGAAAATGAAATATCCAAACCAGAAGACACTTACCCTATCTGTAATCCTAAGGATAATGCCGCTTTTTAAATTGAGAATGACATTGTCTACTCCACTTGCTGAGCTAGTAAATGCTACAACAGCTCAGCACAGGTTTCATGCATGTATCTGTGCTTAGTAATTTTGTATGGGCCCTGTACAATCGATCGACTTTTGACTATACAAAATTTTGCTATGGGGCCCTGTGATTTCTAGTTATGCCCCTGATGAGGACCCACCCAAACTAAGGTTTGGAGAACTAAGTAACTGAGAATAAGGTAAAAAAAGTGAACTTTCTGATTTTAGCACAGTTGAAGTATTTACTGGTTATCTTTAGTAGTTTACTGATTTGTTTCCCTTGTTGTCTGGAATTTGTCTGGAATTTCTCTTTAAATCTCTCATGCACTCCAGAGGGAAGGGCCTCCCCAGGCTCATGGCATGGCTGTGACAGGCATTGCCTAGCTATTCACCTTAACTACAGTGTAACTGGTAGACATGAGCTGTACACTGGGATTTGGGGAATCTCACCTCCTGAGCCTCGATATTGGAGGCTTCATTTATTAGTAGGGAATTGAGGTCAAGCTTGGTTTAGAAGCTAAAATGTGCATAACATTTCAGTAGCCTAAATGTTCTGCCGATCAACATGCAGTTTTCACTGCTCTGCTTATGTGTTTTTCATTATATGTGCCGTTAAAAGCTTACTCAGTGATTCTGGGAAGTAATGAGATATTTCTTATTCTACTATTGTAATTGTAACATATGTGTTCATAATGATTTATTCTTGTATTTTTTATTGCTAGGAAGTGCCATTGCCAACCGCACAGCCCACATCTACCATTGTTCGATCTCCATCTCTTCAGGTTCCTAGTGTGCTGCTTACAAATTCGGAATCAAGTGTTATTATTCAACCAGCAACACCTTCCCCAACATCCAGCTCTGTAATTACCCAAGCGCCACCTTCTAACCGGGCCATAGTGTAAGTAACCTGCATCAACGCCTTTTATTAAATGTTAGTGAAGGGGATTGGAATGCAAATGTGCCTTTTTGCCTTTTTTGAGCATACTGAGCAAATATCTAGACTAGAGTTGTTGCGTTAAATTCAATATATGCTTTATTAGCTCATTATGCTGTTGCAGCCGAGTACATTTAAGTTTGCACAAATAACTTTTTTTTCAATGTGAACTGCCTCAGCGGATGCAGCTGATCCAATTTTTACCTTGACACCACAAAGTATTTGCATGAAACATAAAGAATCTGAGTATATGTAAGTGTAGACCGTGATCCCTGTTTCCAGTTCTTCCCTTTCTTTTACACCCATTAGAGCATGAGACTGAATTCTGGGATAAGGGTACTCCCCAGAAGTTGTGTGACTAGCATTTTGATGCTATCTGCCATAAATAAGGCATAGATTAAAGCCCAACTCTAGCCAAAACTTTTTTTTATAGAATGGCAAATGGTTAAAATTTGGGTCAGGTTTTAATTGCTAAAAGTACATCAACAAAAAGGTTGGACTTTATATGGGTTGGACTTGATGGACGTATGTCTTTATTCAACCCCAAATACTATGTAAGGGTAGGTGTGCGGCTAAACGGTAGTACTGTGTAAATATGAAGCCAGCATGCCAACTTGGAGATCCAAATGAGACGTTTACATCTAGAGTCCCATATCAAAACGTTGGAGGCTTGTTATCTTATATGGAACTCTAGTAAACTTCTCATTTGCATCATCATGGCACTGGCCAACAGGTCTTCATTAGTAGGAGGAGAAGATTAGCATGTAGACGTATATTGAGTGGGCACCAGACTAAACGGGTGAATAAGACTCAGTACTTTCCCATAGATGTCTGCCTGTGTTGCCATGGGGGAGATAGGCCAGCATTCCTTGTAAGATATAACTCTTTTACTGGAAACAGCAATTATAGATGTATGTTTGAAGGGAACACAGGTCCTCTTTGTCAAGGCATGGTCAACAAGGAGGACCTGTGTGCCCTTGAAATGTGCGTCAATGATTGCTCTTTGCAGTAGAAGACCTAAAACTTACATGGAGTGCTGGCCTTTCTTCACTGATTGCTGTGAACCTTGGGGGCGAGAGGTTTGTGTATATGTGTGTGATGGGTACATCTTTCCCATAGGGAAAATGTTTTATCTCTTCCTGTTCTGACACCCATCACCTGGACAGGAAGTGATAGTTAATCTCCCCAGTGGTGATATAGGCAACAAAAAATGCTGGTGAAGGTTCTAACCTTTCTCTCTCTCTCTATTATAAAATGTGATTTTATTGCTGACTGTTTCCCCATAGGGGGTAATTTCCAGTATTTAATCTTCTATCTGACATCTTTCTTGCTGTTCAGTCTGACATCCGTCATATTTACAGGAAGTAAGGAGAAAACTCCAACATGGGTTCATGGACAGCAATAAAAAGTTGTCCTAGGTTTTGACCTCCATATCTAAAGCAAAAAAAGTTTTGGCTGCACTCATGAAGGTAAACTGAGTGAAAGTTCTATTTTTGCTTAGTACTAACGTTGTATGGCATTAGACTGTTTAAGAATAATATATCATATTCTGTATGTAATGCAGTTACAAACCTCAGATGCAGTCAGATTTTGGCTTGTTTGCCTCCGGGGAACACTATTCTTAACTCTGCACTGCAGGGGTTAAGTGCTAATTTTCGTCTAGGATGTAAAATAAAAAACATTTTTTTACTCACCTGAACCTCAGGAGACTGACCAGTCCTTCCAGCCTCTCTCCCCCCCTCTGCTCCAGCGGTCTAAGGATCCTTGAGTCATCATGTACAATACACTGTGTAGGATGTGAGGATACAGAGGGGCATTCCATCGCTGCAGCGGAGGATGAGACAGGCTGGAGGACTCTTGCAGTGCAGGTGTAGCCCCACTGCAAGGGTTAAGAATAATGTTTCCCGGAGTAGTTCTTTAATACTAATCTCTTACCTGATACACCGGCTTCACTCCTTCTACAGGCTGTATGCCTTTGCCAGCGCTTGAGCTGTCATGGCCAAAGTATAACAGTCCCTCTCCAAAAAGCATCAGGGCCAGAAACACTCTGGAACTGAAGACCTTTGATCTGGACAAGTGTACCTTGTCATTGCTGAAGTCTGCTGGCATTTCCAGTGTCTGCTAAAATTTCATGCAAGTCTGTCTCCAGCTTGTGCATGTGCCCAGTATGACCACCGTTTACTGGCGAGGCCCAACACAAGTGACTTTTCAGAGGACCACCAGCAGCATTAGCAGTGCAAGGATCCAGAGATTGGGTGTTTGTAGAATTTTTCCTTAAGCTGAATATGGCGGTTGAGCTGTGGCTGAATTGCTTTTCACTGCTATAGCGAATTTGTACATTCTCAACAGCAGGTAATGCAACCCAAAACTAAAGATGCAGCTGTGGCGATTGCACGGATACCGTAATGGTATCGGTGCCGATACCGAGTATTTGGGCGAGTAGTTGTACTCGCCCAAATGCTCCGATACCTTCCCTGATACCAGAACTTCTGGCCAGAGGGAGATTTGTTTCCCGGCAATCAACATTGAGTCGACCAAACAGCCTGCTCGATGCTGATTGGCTGGGAAGCTGGTTTCACGGCCAGTCAGCATGGAGTCGGCAAAATAGCATTGAGCCGGCTTCCCGGGCAAGCAAGAAGCCGGGCAGCGTGTAATGGCACACTGCCTGGCTTCCTGATTGCTAGCGGACGTATCGGTATTGGTACTCGGTATCGGCGAGTCTCGAAATATAAATATCGGTAATATCAGTATAGAAATCCTCACTGATGCTGGATGCTCTTATCAGGGGTGAACTTCTAGTGCTGTATGGGTTACCTGCTTCTGCTGTAATAGTGAAGACATTGCTCAACCTCCCCTTCTGCCCACTCACAGAATTCCTTGCATTATTTTTATAGAATGCAAAGCATTGTGTGATTGGAAGAGGTAGGTCCTGTCATTCATCTGCCCGTCCTCCACTCACAGAAAGCTTTTCACTTAGTAAAAAGAATGCAAGTAATTCTGTGAGGAAGCAAGGTTGGGGGGGAAAGGCGGAAGGGGAGGTCGAGCAGCATGATTCTGTCACTATTACAGCAGAAGCAGGGAACCCATACAGAGCTGGAAGATAACTGCTGTGAAGAGGATCCAGCATCGCTGGAGGGAGGTTATTTACAGAAGCATCAGCCAGCAGGACGTAGAATAGACTTCATTCAAGGTAAGTTATGTCCCTGGTCCTCTATAACCCAAAAAGTTTAAATAGACTTCAACTTGTGTTAACCGGCAATGAGTTTGTCCACTACGATGCATTTCTGAGATCTTCTGATGATTGGTGGTTTGCTGTAAAGCCCTGCCTCTGATGTGTCATAGCCAGTAACGTCTTCACTAAAAACAATTCCATGGCCTACAAGGAGGAACGTATTTGAATTTTTCCACATTTTATCCTATTGCATGTTTACCTGAAACTGATTCTTGAGGTGACTTTCACACTTTTATATTGCTTGCATTCACTGTCATATTCAATGATGATATTTTATACACAGATTTCTCAGTTCTCCCTCTAGTGGCTCTGTAATTAGGAATGTAGAATTTGTATCCTTTCTGAAGATCTGGTGAGTTAGGAGATTATTAGCCAAGCAGACAAATAGGCTTGTATTGGGAGAGAGCGAGGAGTAGAGTAAAGTAAATCAGAATCAATGTAGAGCTACAGCTCGCGATATACTGAGACCGTCGCAGCCAGGACGGATCCCGACAATACTGTCGAGATCCACCCAGCTGTGAATGACAGCGGGCTCTGCCTATCTAGAGGCTGTGCCCGCCCCCGTTCCTCCAGTCAGCACTAGAGGATCGGAGCGGGGAGGGGGGGGAATCCCTGCGGGGAGTCACGGCTCTCTGCAGGGAGATGATCGAGAAGTGAGCGAGCGACGGTATGTGTTCGCTCACTTCTCGATCTATTGAGCCGACGTGTGACAGTTTCATTGTCACACGTCGGCTTGAACTAGGAGGGTGAACGATTTTCACTCACCTCCTAGTTCTCCTTTAAATTAAAGTGGAACTTTAGCCAAAACTTTGAGGAAGGGTATTTCTGTCTGTGTGCCCATTGGGGGGATTTTCTCTCACTTTCTGTGTCACCACAGGGACAGGAAGTAAGGGGAGATCTATGCATTAAGGTCACAGGCCGCTAGAAGGTCAATTAGTAATGTTGTGAAGGGTGAGATCCACTGTCAGGTTGTTAATTGATTTTAGTTTGCCCTTTGAGCAGAAGATTTTAAAACATTCTGTCTGGCGATGCAGTTTGGAACAAGTGTGGGAATTACAAGCTTGGCTGCAGAGAATTAAAACAGTATTTTAACTAAATATTTTGCTCTGAGTTTTATTTCTATGTAATTAATAGGGATGCACCAATACCAGTTTTATGGTTTTGAATACCGATACTTTGCTTTCGGTACTCGCTGATACTGGTGCTTCCGCTGGCATAGAGCCGGCTTCCCGGGCAATCAGGAAGCCGGGCCGTGGGTAATGACATACCACCCAGCTTCCTGATTCCCGGGAAGTTAGCTCCATGTTGTTTGGCTTGATTGTGGTTGGCTGGGGAACCGGCTTTCCAGCCGATCAGCATCAAGCTGGCTTCCCGGCCAATCAGGAATCCGGGCAGTGAGTAATGACCAGCCTCCCGGCTTTCTGATTGATGAGGAAGCCAGCTGCATGCTGATTGGCTGGAAAGCCGGCTTCCAATCAGGAAGCCAGGAGGCGGGTCATTACTCGCTGCCCAGCTTCCTGATTGCACTGGAAGCTGGCTCCATGTTCCCCTACGGCATTGTTGGTCAGAGGAAATCTTCCTCTGACTAGAAGTTCCGGTATCGGGAAAGGTATCTGAGCATTTGTGTGAAATACTCGGTATCGGCACTGATACTAGTATCGGTATCAGTGCATGACTAGAATTTATCACATAATCAGTGAGCTTGTAAATATACATGGGGGCAGCCATATTT